TGTTGTTGTTGTTGTTGTTGTTGTTGTTGTTGTTGTTGTTGTTGTTGTTGTTGTTGTTGTTGTTGTTGTTGTTGTTGTTGTTGTTGTTGTTGTTGCTGTTGGGGCTGCTGCTGCTGTTGCTGTTGCTGTCGACGAAGAGCTGCTTCTTCTTCCTCACGTACGTCAAGTGCAATTCGAAACAAGTTTGGGACAGGCTGGTTGGTGCCGCTTGCGCGGCGGCGTCCTGCTGGTTGTTGTTGTGGGGGTGTCATCTTGCTTGCTGCTGTTCTTTATTGCTTTGCTTTGCTGCTTTGCTTTGCTTTATTGCTTTGCTGCTGCAGTCAAAGTTTTTGTGTGAAGGAGGAGCGAACCACACGTGGTTGTATTATTGCACACTCTACGTACGTTTTAAGGGGAATCAACGGTCGAAAATGCAACAAAAAACGCTGGTGAATCTTACCAGTAAGAAAAAAAGCAATACTGTTTTTGTTAGTTAATTTACACACAAATTATAGTATACTGTCAAAAAAATAGGGATATTGGTCTCCGTACATAGACATATATGGGGTAGGGCTATTCAGTATTGTTTTTGCGTTGCATCGAGGCAATTACGATAATGCAATTTTAGTTGCAAAATACGAATACTGTACCGGTACCCCATTTCTGCAACCGATATTGCAAAACGGTCAAAGGAGTCGGTCAGTACTTAAAATACGTAGTATTCTACGTAGGATATAATACCCCAACGGATCCCACTCCATTTACCACCGTACTTACATCTTATACATGATTTGTGGTAGGGATTCTACACAGCAACCGTACCAGCTTTTCTTTGTTGGTCGCATCTGTACCTCTTTTGGTTGCATAAGAGAGCGCAAATTATACTGAGAATGGAACCATTTTGCAACTCCTCGCACGTCACGAGAGGTGCATTTTTAACTCCTCACACGACGTCACGAGAGGTGCATTTTTAGCTCACAAAATTATCGAAGCGCCGATACGACGAGTACAAGCAAAACCCCAACAAAAAGCAATCAGCAAGCAAGCAAAAACGCCACCAGCTACTAGTAGTAGTACTAGTAGTAACAAGATCAACGACAACAAGAAACCAACAAGGAATGGTAACAGCTCAACAGGCGGACGCGCAGCGTCGTCGTCCCCCCCGAGCTCGGAAAAGAAGGGGGGGCACTGTAACGCCTCCACGAGACGTGAACCAGCCAGGACAATGGGGGAGATACCACAAGATTCTGCTTGAGTTAATGGATCATGTACATGGAAGAGTGGATGAAGGAGGAGACAATGGGGATAATCGATTTCCCAGTGATACARTATTCACAGCAGAGCAGCTGAGMCATCTAACGCCAGATCATATTTACAAGTTCTTTGCRAAGAAAGCTTTTGGTCGCGAGGATCCAGGAGTGGATGATAATCCTACGYATGGTAGATCTACCACTCTAATCTACTACAAGAAGGCAATATCATACTTCATGCCAAACAAGCTGCACAAATGGACTGTTGTTGCTGGTGTTGGTAGTGGGAATCCTACGAAGTCCCAGAAAGTTAACAATTTGATTGCAGCTGTAATAAAAAAGGAAACTAGAGGACTTGGACAACCAAGCAGCATGGATAGGCCTCTTACAAAGGATGAGTTTTTGCAAACACTAGAACTGATGGGGAATCATGGTTCCATTACCAATCGACTGAGGTTCCTTGCAATGCTTAAGTTCCAGTTCCACTTGATTGGGCRGAATGATGATATGGCTCATGTTGGCAAAGACAGCTTGGAAAAATCAGCTGAATTTCCTCAGTTCCTTACAGCAAAGTTAAGATGGTCTAAGAATGTAAGAGAGGAACGTGATTGTCCAAGGCAGATACTACTTGGATCGATGGATCATAGGACTTGTGTTGTGCTGGCACTTGCTTTATTCCTTGAAAAGTGGTGCAAAGATGGTGAAGGAGCAGCAAGCCAATGGCTGTTCACTGAAGGAATTACAGATAGGAGATCTCAAGCAAGGGATATTGAGAAAGAGATTAACAAAGGAAAGAATGCTTACTCTAGATT